GGGGGGATCAATGATACCCGGTATCTCGGGACGAGATACCGGGGGGTTGGGAGAAGATATGGATACAGGATCCGTGGACCAGTAAATGGGAACAGGTTCCCGTGCCCCATACAGAAGCTGAGAAGAGACGCCGGCAAGGATTCCCCCAGAGACCATCTTATTGGGGTGAGTCAGAGACCAAGGAGTGGTGCAAGCAGTTGAGGGAGGAGAGGGAAAGGATCTTAAGAGAACAAGAAGCGAAGCGGGCATGGCATCTGGAGTTGCTCTGGAAGATGGGCTTCTACCTGGACCGTGGCTCGAACAGCCAGGAGAGGGATCTCCCCTATGGTGCTGGCTTGGTGACGAGGAGACCCTTCCACTTCTAACTCCAGATGAGGATGAGGGAGAACCCCAGAGCCTGAAAAGTTATTAGGTGGACCTTGTGTTAACCTGTTTGAAAACAGTTCATGGTCCATACGAGGATGAGGGAGAACCCCAAGAGCCTTAAAAGTTATTAGGTGGACCTTGGGACTTAAAAAGTGTTTGCTGGCTTGGTGACGAGGAGACCCTTCCACTTCTAACTCCAGATGAGGATGAGGGAGAACCCCAGAGCCTGAAAAGTTATTAGGTGGACCTTGTGTTAACCTGTTTGAAAACAGTTCATGGACACCCTTGCATGCGACGTTCCAGCAGCAAGAGAAGTTTGAAAGTAATCACGCTGATGTTTCTATACCTGTTCCCAAGTTAATAAATACAGAACAATGGTTTGACTTTAAAGCGTCTCATGGTTTATTGGGAGAGAAGGAGGGCCCTAAAACTGAACCTTTACAAATAGATCCTTTTTTCTTTAACATGAGGTATTACAGAGGGGGAAGCGATGTTTCCTTTCTAGGGAACAAGTCCCTATGATGCATCCAGAGTGTAAGCCTAGTCTCTTACCAAGGCTTCTACTTTTACATATAGCAATACAGAACCCTTCATTGACTGTAAATGTGAACAGAACAATATGTATTGATGTAACCAGGAAAACCTGAAAGTCCTAATTAGAACTGGGGATATTCATATATGAATACCAATATTCCCTTCTCAGATGGACCTAATGAGATTCTGGTCCTCTAGACCAAAGGTCTATTAGTTAAGATAGAAGGGGTTAAAGGGAAAATTCTGAAGCTTTGTGTAACTTTAAGAATGTTCGTAAGAACCATTCCTGAAATAACTTAAAAACCAATAAACCTGTTTTTATTTCAAACTTAATTCTTGAATGGACCTCAGTCTTTCCTAGGAGATATAATTGGTAAAGAGATCAAGGGGTGGCACTTTTTTACCATAAAAGGAGCCCCCAGGCCAGCAGCCTCCCTGGTCAATGAGTCATCATCTCCTGTCACAATAGTAAAACCAGCCTTCCCCTCCTCACACACCCTTTGCCCCATCACTTTACTGTTTCCAGTTAGAGAGAGCACTGGTTAGCTGATCAGTCTCTTCATCATGGAAGCAATGCTCGTAGACAGCCAAGACTCTGTCAGAGTCCTGGCTGAAAAAGAAAAGGAGGTCCTTTCCCAAGGACCAGCCATGAATGTGCTTGAGCACCTCAACGCTTCAGCCCCAGGATGGAATAAAGTTCTGTGGCCGAAGCTCTTGTCCCTTGGGGTGGGAGAGGGATACGCTCCTGCTCTGACGCCACTCTGCAGGCGCCTGAAGGAGTTGGCCGCCCTTCGGCCGGAAGGATCCAGGCTGCACCTTGGGTCTTGCCAAGGAGGAGTAAAACTTCCAAGTCCACAGCAGCTCCTTGTGCGGCTTCTGGTCTCGGCTGCCCCTCGTAGCCGGAGAGGGTTCTGGGCCCTCCAACTTCTGCACGCCTTACGGGCTGACGTCCACGAGGCCTTCGTCCAGCTTTGGGCAGAGGAGATCCCGGATATCTGGGGATTTTGCCAGGCAGAAGGCCCGAGAGCGAGCCAGCCAGAATGGGAGCAGAAGCTTCTGCAGTTGCTGAGGAAAACCCTGAAATGCATAGAGGATGATGTGTGGACCCAAAATGTCGTCATCAACCTGGAAGAGCAGAGGCCCAGTTACACCGATGGGTCCCAGGAAAAGAGCTTCCTCTATAAAGCGCTGGGAGTGTCGCTGGCCTGTTGCGAGGACCGGGCGTTCGTTCAGGGCAGGCTGAAGGAGCTGGTGGAAAAATCTGATTTCCGGGAAGCAGCACAGATAGAGAAAGTAGCCAAGATCCTTTCTTTCTCTGCTGCGGGGCATTTGGGCCTCACTCTGGCCACATTAGAGGACTGCACAGCTGGGATGGCTGCCCTCCTTGCCCACCAGAAGGATGACCAGAACAGCAGGTGAGGCCAGCTCCACCAAGGCCTGGTTTTCATCTACGGCCAGATCGCCCTCCAGGCCCCGAAAGAGTCCTTGTCGC